TAAATCTTTGAAAGCCTCAAAATCATTGTCATTATAAATCCTGGTCAATAATAAATAGTTTTCATTAAAAGTGGATTTTTTTTGCTTTTTTCTGCCTGAAATTTGTCGTGTCGTTTGCTCGCTACCTCCTTAAACACTCTGCTCTCCTGATACAAATCGAAACTTTCGTGTGCCAGCAAAATATCATCAATAGAGAGCATCTGCATCGACATAGACAATAACGTAACGCTAAACTCCTGCTCCTCATATTTGCTCGCTACATCCTTAAACATTCTGCTCTCCTGATACAAATCGAAACTTTCGTGTGTGAGCAAAGTTTCGCAAATAGAGAGCATCTGCATCGACAAAGATATTAACGTAACCTCCTTAAACATTTTGCTCTCCTGATACAAATCGAACCTTTCGTGTGCCAGCAAAATTTCGTCAATAAAGAGCATCTGCATCGACGAAAACAATAACGTAACGCTTAAACTCCTGCTCCTTATATTTGCTCGCTACCTCCTGAAACGTTCTGCTCTCCTGATACCAATCGAAGGTTTTGTGTGCCAGCAAAAATAAACGTTCGCTCTTCCCCACTTCAGTGGTAATTCAAGTTTAAATTAGGACTAGGAACCACATAACAGAGAAAAGTTTAATTGGAGTACGCAAACCTATTAAGACTTCTTCAAGAGCATTTTCCGCAGAACCGACTTTTTCGCATTGGACTTTTCTAGCAGACTTAAGGAAATTAAGCGTGCGTAACCAGCAGACTCAGACCGCTTGCAATAAAATGAGGAACAGAAGAGATAAATGTAGCTCATTCTTCATGAGTCTCCCGGTTCAATAACTCTATCGGTTAGCGATACAGACAGACAACAAAAGCGACGATTTTTCACTGTTCTTCCTTTGGAAACAAGCTGATCGCCACGCGATGCATCAATATGCTAATGTTGGCCAAGATGGGTCGTCGTCGATCACTCGGACACTGACATGACAAATAGTCGATGGATCACCTATTTTTAAATTTAAATTTCAGTCTTGGTGATTTTCGTTTGAATACGATTACCCCAGTGGCACAACCAGCATCGCATTGCCTGCTTCCAACCAACTTTAGCACAGAATCAAATTGAAGACGAATGTAATTGATTGTGCTCACTCCCGAGATACGTAGGTAACTGCTTGCTGCAACTAATAACTTTATAATTGCTTGAGAAATATTGACTATACCAATCAAAGCAACGGCAAGTTCCGAAAAAAACTATAGTTTTAACTAGCAGGAAAATTAATTTTATTGCTTCATTAAGTATGCAAATTTAGGCAATGTGATTAATGGTCGCAGGTCTTCTAGTCGAATACCAACGCTTTGCAACGTTTATTTATAGAAGTCTGACGATTTTTTTAAAGCCGAACAACAACAGAAAATCCATAAATTGTACTCTTGTTAAGCAGGTAAATATTAGTTTCTTGACACTCAATAAATTGATGCCATGAATACACCGTGACTATGAAACGGAGGCTCTGGTGGAAAAACCAACAAACTGGGGAGAAAATCACTAGACGAACTGGAGACAAAGTGTTATCTGAGTTAATTGGTTACTAATTGTCGGGAAAAGTTCGCCATTTTGCAAAAAAGTCTTGGAAAGTCCTCAATAGTCCAGCAACTGTTCTAAATGGGTTCTTCTGAATTGAAACTCCCAGTCGTTACATCAAGTAATAATCAAACCAAAAAATATATCTCTTTTATTTCCTTCCAGTACTTTTTCTTTAATAGTTCAAGACGAAGGCAAATTTGTGCGAAAGTTCATTGCTAAGAAAATCAGGTCGACAAAACGCAATTTAACTGGTGGTGTAAGTAAATACATTAAGGGCGAGAATCTGCAAAATCAACGAATCAGCGGCTAGTAGTGAAGAAATATAGCCAGCTAAGGACAAAGTAGAAATTTTAGGATTAAACATTGGAAAATTCTTAAAATGGCGCATTTTTTATTAAAAAATTGTCAGAAAAATTTAACACTATGGAAAAAACGACCGACACAGAGATTGCGAGAGAACATCTTCAAAAAATTCTTAATCATTAGGAATATAAATCTAAGTTACAGAATTACAAACAATTGGTATACAATTAATGATTAATTTTACATAATTACTTAATATGAATTAAGCTTATGTTAAGCATTTTGCATGATTTTTCCGTTGACAATAAACGGATCTTACAGCTGATTTAAACAGACAATTTAACAAACCCACTGTGTTCGAACAATGTTAAAACTTCATACTTGAAACCACATAAAAATCACGTTGTTTACAGCAAGTAGATAGGAACTACCTTCAACAAATTTCAAAAATTCAGGTCTTTCAACCGTTCTAAACATGCACAAAAATACTCTAAATACATGGCATTTAACAAAATAATATCCCAACTGATCTGAATCTAATTCTTGTCTTCGGCCGGTTGGGGCTGGCAAGGATTTCCAATAATTTGATCAGCAATTCGACTGGCCTCCCGAAGCCCACTTAAAAAGGCTCCGTGAACGGTTGCAGGATAATTTCTAATGGTATGCTCCCCGGCAAAAAATACCTTAGCAGGCCCTGAAGCCGTGGATGTTCCTTGCGTACCAGGTGGGATGACGGGACTGGCTAACAAATCATAATCGGAACCTGAACTGCCTACTGCAACAAAGCTGTAGGAACCACGCGACCATGGATCCGCTCTCCATCTAGTTACTACCGTTTCCTTGGGTTGAGGTACTCCAGACTGTCCAAAAATCCCACGAAGGACTGCGATACACCTGCAAACAATAAACAAATCCTAAAAAACATTTTCAAGCTGAACATTTTAACAGTCAAGCATTTCATTGGAAAATCCATCAGCTTTGAATATGTCCAAGATCTACCACTTACTCTAGACGATATTCTTCATAAATCTTCCTTTTAACAAGTTTGACCTGGTTGGGAAAATATCAAAGCAAAATAAGCGATAAAAATCAGGCGGGCGACAGCTAATGAGCAGCATCTAATAAATTTCCAGTTGATAGAATAATTTTGAATATGAAAGCCATGAGTTGCGGACCCTATGAAAATGAGCTGTTATCCAAGCTAAAATTCGTAATCGGATTATAAATTCTTCACGGAAAGTAACTGTGATTCTTTTTAAAAATTCATTTGACGGCTTTATCTACAACTAAACAACGACCATTCCGAATTGGATTATAGCAATAAATCGGCTACTAATTGTTTCCTTTCGGTGTTTTGTTGCTTTACGTTTTTATGGTGTAATGGCGAGGACATGAATATCCATTTGGATTTTTATGGGATGGTTTATCATATGGGGCCTTTTTCGTTCACATCAAATTCAAATCGATTTTTGTTGTTGAACGAAACTAATTAAGCCATTACAAAACCGGTAGTTTACCATAAAATTTGCTTTTTTCGGAAAATTTCAATTCAGTGCAATGTTGGCTTTTGGGGCTTTTGTATTTTTGTATCATCGCCAGCGGACTGAATCTAGTTTTTGAGAATTAGTAAGGGATCATTTTTAAAAACTTCCGTGCACAAAAATGTTTCCAAATTTTTCCAGCCCCTGTACTTAAACGAAGTTTTGGGTGAAGGTAGTAAGCGCGCATTTGCTCTATCTGGTCCCAACATTTTTAAACTTAAATTGAAAACATTGTCAACATTTCTCCAGTAGATGGACCAAACCTGGGGCTTGGGGGTTAGTAGGGAAGTATTGGCTGTGTCCTCATCAAATTTCAGCTCGTGATTTTTTCCGGTTAGGAAGTTCGAGATTGTTAAGTCCGTTCGGGCAGAATCGGCGTAAAAAAGTGAAACCCAAACTGAAAAAAAATTCAAAATTTCTCTGGCCCGTGGACGAAGACGAGTTTTTCGGCATTAGTAAAGTAGTAGTTACTCCGCCTCCTCACAAAATTTACACTCGTGAATGGTTCCCGTTTCGAAGTTCGCGGTTGTTGAAACTTTCCTTACAGAATTTCGCTAGAAAAGCCCAAATTCGAAAAATTCTCAAAGTTTTCTCAATCCATGAACTAAAGCGAGTTTTTGGGCACTAACAAGGGTTTTCACAACATCATTTGGTTGATCTACTCACAACATTTCAAGTCTCGATTTTTTCCCGATCGATGAGAGGCTGCTGTCTAATTTCCTCAAAAAAATTAGACCCAAATTTGGAAAAAAATTCTAAATTTCCCCGGCTTGAGGTCTAAAGCGAGTTTTTGTCGGAAGTCGGAATTGTTGAAACGTTCTCTGCAGAATATCCACCCCAAAGTGCAAGTCAAATTAATAAATATGTTTCTATTTCTTCAAGCAGGAGACTGCAGTTGTTTTTTCGATATTAGTAAAGGCGCATTTGCTCTCACTTTGTGCAAAATTCCGTTTGATGTCAGATACGCATAAGTTAAAAAAAAGTGTTGAATTGAAACCCCCAAATTACTGAGTTTCGAATGCGAGATTTTTATCATTTCCCGATGAAAAACATTATAGAAAGTGAACCAGGATCAGGAGAGAGAAATCAGACGCAAATCCAAAATCTACAGCATTCAGATTCAGAGCCTGGAAGGCTGAAAATTGAGGGGACGAAATCTGCAGATTTGGGATTTAAGTTACAATTTCCCTGAAAACGGATACAAGTGCTATCCAGCGAAAGGTTCGGCTGCAAAAAAACCGTTGAGCCCCAACATTGTCTATCACTTTCAAGGAAATATCCGGAATAATATGGACGCTTTAGAACTGCAATGATATAAAAATAAATCTGCTAAATTAATAACAACATTTACCGTCCCACAATGACATCGTCTGTAACATTTTCCATTATGGCAGCAGCTTCCCCAGCCACAAGCGCCAATAAAACCGGCGCCTTGTACAGGTTCCAGAACAGAAAAAGTTCGCCACGACTAGCGGTAGTGCTTCCGACGTGTCCGAACAGGTTTGCCTGCGGGTTCCAGAAAATCCGTTCGAAGCACAGCACCACCTTGTTCAAGTTGCCGAAACCCAAACGCTGGATGGCGGAAGTTTTCCAGTCTGGTAGGGGCGGGCTGAATTGTACGGTGTTTAATTGGCCACTGCTTGAAACCGCACTCAGCTTGAGCACTCCAAGTGGCAGAGTACATAACGCAACATCAGCTAGTGCAGAAGGAAAAAACTCTTAAGAAAATAAGTGATTAGAATTGAATAAAGGAAAAAACTCAGACAGTTTAGAAGATCGAGAACCGTATGAGTTGCCCTTTGAAACTATATTCTAAAAAGATCAAATTTAATAATTTCTACTAGACTTTTTTTTTTCTACTAGACTTTTGCTACTGCTAAACTTTAGCAGCCGCAAACGGTTTGATTTTGTTAATTTTTTATGAAACAGTTGAAATCTAGTTTATAGTGAATTAAAATAATTTTTGAAACCGCTATCGATACCGATACTACAACGTTGCTTAATTGGAGAAACTTTGTCTTTGAGAGACAGAACCTTCGAAAAAAATATGTATAAAATGTACCTTCTTGCCGTCATATTATTACAATAATTTGCTGGAAAAGGTGTTAAAATTAGCCAATTACTCACCACGGTAAGTGTTGATTGCCTGTTGATTGCGAGGGTTGTAAACAGTCACCTCGACACCTTGTTGATTGTATTCGACCTTTTTAACTGCTGCGTTCAATTTGATGTCCAGTCCTTCAGCTAGAGCCACCGGTACGCAGGAGTAGCCATTCCGAACTGCCAATGAAAAGGCCGAATTTTAATTTCAACCATAAATAAACAAACAATTTCAGGTGTTCGAAGTGCAAATTAATAATTTAATCTATATTGAGTTGTTCGCGTAATTGATCTCTTCGAAATTAACGGCCGTGATCGCTTGCAGCTGATGGACATGTCTTGTTTCAGCGATGAGGCGTTATGGCTTATGGCCGAAAATTAGTGCCCAATTATTGGGTTGGAGAGTTTTTCTCTTCTCGAATGAAAAATTATGGGAATTTCAGCTCAAACAACTAAATTGCTTTGGAATATTGATGGGCTGATAGATTCAACAGGAACATATTATTCAAATAAGCTCGGCGGTTTAATTCCGGATGTCACTATACAGTGAAACGTGAGGGACCGTTCGGAAGTTCAACGATAATAATCTGATATTCGCGGTTGAATAAAAATTGTTAGATTTTTTTGTTTGATTAAATGAAGAAGGCCGATTACTCCTTCATTTGGTGTACAATCGTTTTTTCGGTCATTTCCATTGCCTGTTGAACCAAGGTACACCATTTGGGAAACCGTCGCAGTAGATACATAGATAAAAAGTGATTCAAGGTTCACATTGTGAGTATGTTTGTTTTTGCATCAAGATTAGCTTAGATTTCCATCTGTTTTCTAGGCTCGATTTTGAATCCTCTTTTCCGATAGCCCGTTACCAAATCCGGCAGAAACCAGCTATTAAATGAAAACGTTAATTTAACACTGTGTTTCCGCCCTGAGCATTCCGTTGACTCTTTAATTCAACTGTTAAAATCAGCGATGCAAAAACCAAATTGTATACATCATTCTTCCATCAGTCGAAGAATGCGTATGGTTTGACCAATTTGTAATTACTCTATTCCACATGACGTCGGCTTGCAAAGTTCTTTGTTTAGCCCACATTACCATACGTCTGTTGTGAGACATTCAGCATTGAATGAATACGTTAAATAGTTGTCGTCTATGCGCGAGTGCATTAGCAAGCCAGACGATCAATTTTCGCGACATCCAGCCCGCATCAGAAACGCCCGTTTTTTTGCTCAGTGAGACCGGAGGGTTCTGGACCTTTTGATTATAACATCAATTAATGAACGACGAAAGAAATCGTCTAAAACAAGGGACGACAGAAACATTTTTAAGCGACGCTCAGTTTAAAAATGATAATGTAATTCCATTAAACTGGTGCTACGACTCAATCATAAATCATGTCCCTAATTGGCAGTAGCCGAGCGATTTGAGACTGAGTCTCGATATGGAACCACTGCTCTCTTTTATAAACTGAATAAATACGGGCATCTGGAATCAAAACATGTAATCGATTGATTGAAGAAAAGATGACGGAGAACAAATAGGCATTCAAATTGGGTACTACGGTACCATTTAATATTTAATAGTTTCCGACTCGGTTTTCCGAAGATCAAATTGGCAAAAATGCGAAATAATGCACATAACTTTTTTGTCATTTTTCTGCGACTGATTAATCGAAAACGTAATGCGCCATTAGAGCGAATTCATTAGAATTTAATGGATGTGCAAGTGAATTGCGACGTCCAAAAGAGTCTAATTCGGGCACGACACTCATTTTAACGCAACAAATGAAAACTCACCATATTGTGCCCTCTTCCAGTAACACTTTAATAGTTTGTGGCGGCACCCCATTATCTTAATTGGCTGCACATAATTGCAAGACTTCAGATAATTACCAGCTAAACAAATAACAACAACCATTGCGAACAATCGTGGTTGGCAACTGGGAAATTACAGTTATATTTAAACTCATTACTTAGTTGAAAATGTATAATCTATTTAATTTTGAAAAGTTTTCAAGTGATCCTTCCTTCCTTCCTTCCTTGTTCTGGGATCAGTTAGGTTTGTCCTTGAAGGAATCTTTTGAGTGGTTGGTTGAACTTTGAATATTCTCACAAGTTAAAAAGTCAAATCGAACTTTAAAAAAGCGATTCTGAAGAAATTGCATTGACTGCGAAATCACTCAATGTTTGGTGAAAGATCCGATTCAGAAACCATGTAGCTTTAAATTAGGCTGTTGAGAACTAGTCTGTCATTCAATCCTCAATTAGAAACCATATGAATATTGTTACACTCTAATACAAGTTTATTCGAGTTATTACGAATTATGGAATTAAATTGGTTGCGTTTCTAATGGGTGTATTGATTTGCGATTTAGGCATTGCAACAATCATTCCTTTCCGCAGGTCAGAAACGTATTTAATTTAAACATCGAGGCCGTTCTCTCATGTTCTCAAGCTCGCCGTTGCTCCGGCCTTCGCTAATCAATTAGCAATTCTTTTGGCGTAAAATCGGCGCAATAAAGCTGGGGACCTCCGAGATGCATTTACCATTTTTGACGCTTCTGAAGCACAATTTCATGGAAACGGGACGATTGCAGAGCCACCTACCGTGCGGCTCGTGTCTTCGTATACAAATTGCTTCGTTAGAACACGTTTGTTCGATTGTTGAAAAAGTATTACGGTTTTTACAGGCGACTGTTTAATCCTCTTTGGTGTTGTTGAAAAAGTCGATTTAAATGTGGATCAAAATGTCGATTTGATCCGTATGGGAATATCGTGTTCGATAAAAGAAAATTACCTAGCTTGTGGTCAAGGGTGGAGCCGCCATGGAGGTTCTAAAAAAATTCGGCAAAAAGCTGATCCGAGAACTCGTGCAAAAATAAAGCGAATTCGATCACTTTTGCACGATACATCCAGCTGTTTCATAAAAATTGAGCAAAATCCCAAATCGAGAACTCGTGTGAAAAGTAAGCTTCGTATTCCGTCAGTGCATTGAATGTGGCTCTATACAAAATATCCAGCTGAAAAGGGCCAAAGTTTCATAAGAATCAAGCAAAAGTCCGAGAGCATTAAATTTAGCATGACAAAGTCTATTCCGCGTGATTGGAGATCTTGATATTTGGCTCTTAAACCTGTTTTGTTCACGGCGACCATCCAAACTAGTTTGAGCTAGAAACTTGCGTTAAAAATATATGCGTGCGAACTCCACAAAACAGTCAGCAATAGAAAAACGGAAATCGAACTGCAAATAACTTATCCAAAGGGATGATCCAGCAAACCATCATATATCATCCCGTAATTCTTTAATTCCCTGCCTTCGGAAAGTGGTAAAAGCTTCAATATCGCTTGAGAATTTTTTGCAAAAGGTGACTAAATATTCAGTTTGGTACGGGAAGTGAACATACAGGATGGTTTATGCAAATACGGCATATACAGGATGGTTTGATGCCAATAAGGCAAACGCACTAGATTATCCGTTTTCTGCTAACAATGCTTTTCAATTCGGACTGAATCCTTACTGTTTATTCAAACGTAGTTTTTTAAGGATAAAGGTGTAAAAAATGGAGGATAGGGCGCCAGCTTGCGAGAAGATGGTAGGAATGGATTATTATCTAAAGTCCTTTAGTTTAAATTGTTTGGTTTTTCGATAAGCAACTCAAGTTGATGGCATTTTTATTTCTCTTTATTTCCTCTGTTCAATTAAATCATTTCAAATAATTAAACTTTTGACTAAGTTTCTGTAATACTAAAGAATTTATTCTGATTTATTTTCCTGACTGCGTGTACTTGTTATGATATTCCTATCTTTCCTGGGTTTCAGTCAAAGTGTGAAGTAAAAATTTTTGAAACATTGTTTATTTCATTACGTTTCGGCGAGACAACAGCGCCATCATCAGATTTAAAATTTGACACAAACTACAAACACCAATTCACAATTAAAACATGTTGTATAAAATTTATAATTTACAGTGTTAAAACATTCATCAATTTTTGAGGGAAGAAGAGGAGAGCTTCTAGGAGAGCAAAACATGGGAAAAAATTACCTCATGATTGGTAAAAATTAACGTCCCTTTAGGTCTTTGCTTTCTTGAAAAGCTTGAGTTTGTCTGAATTAGTTTGTATATTTGCGAGAGTGGTATCCATGTATTGATATAAGCAGAAATAGTTTTAATTTTTCACTAGTGTACCGGGTGTTCCATACTTATGGCTTTATTAGGGTTTGGTAAATGTTGCTAAGGTTGTCG